CATGTTCCACACCACAAAAGCTTGGAAGACGGGAACCGTCTTGGGGGGTTGCTATGTCTGGCAGATCTGACATGTACAAACCAGACACAGCGCCTGAGCTCATTAAAATAGCGGCCAGCGTTTTCCCTAAATACCCCCCAATTTGTCTTTTCTTCCCGACAACAGCTACCACGGTGATCAGCCCTGCCGACCAGCCCTGCCTGCAAGGCATCGCCTGGAAAGCTTCATGCATTGCCCCACCTGGGTCGGGCATTCACAGATGTGCAAGAGGCAAAGCAGGTTCCTCGGCGGGAGACATTCAAAACCATTTCTTTCCACATACATAACCATCATAATCCATACGGGAGAAACCCATGTGTGATATGACCATGGAGATCTAGCATGAGATAAACAGGTTCAGTAAGTTTGGGATGATGTAAGGTGGCAGCTGGAGTCAGTTTCGTGCAGAAGTCGTTGGAGAGTTTCAATGTCCGCTCTGTCAAGACGACGCTGCTCGTGGACATGTTCGGATACGACGCATTCCCTGCGTTGGCAAGCCTGCAGGATACTCATCCCAATCGTGGTTTTGTTTTGGTCTCCAAAGCAAAAGTTGACAATGTCAAGGGGGGGTGTCCTCCCACAAGGCTACAGTGGACCCAGAAGTTTCAAACATAGTTAGGATGGCTGAACCCTTGAAGCCCACATATGAACGATTCCAAGTTCCAAGTTGACCAATTAACTGTAAGGAGACACAAGAAGGCCGTGATTGCCTTTGTGCCACACTATGCTTTGAGAACAGTGGGCAGGACCTCATCAACAGAATTGCCAACCAGGTGTACGAGCAAGCGAGGTCCGGCCAGTTGCAGCTATCATCGTTCCCTTCCTTTGAGCCCTTGGTGAACGCTCTGAAGCAAGGCAATGCCACGCAGGAGTCCAAGCACTACAGAGTCAGTGTTCAACGACACGACCAGCTCTTGGTTTTGGACACTTATGCCCGCAAGTGGTTGGATGATTCCAATTTCGCTGATCAGGCCAACGAAGTGATCAAGAATCACAACGCCGAATACAATGCTTCAGGTGATTTCCTCATGACATCTGTGAGGAGAGCTTTGTCCCAACAAATCAGTGTGAGATTGAATCATAATGCTGCCAGTTGGTCGGGTATTACAGTTTGAAGTGTATACCAAATACCGAGCCCTGTCTTCTATATTCCATTTTGCAAAAAACTAACTTCCTTGGGTGACCCCCAAGAGTATCTTTTGCATCCATGCACATCCCATCTCAGAACCTGGCAGGAAGGAAGAGGCAGGAGATGATGCAGCAGAATCGGTGGAGAGACCTATCAAGCGGATCAAGCTGGAATCATGCAAGACAGAGGACGTCATGAAGCTTCCACAGTCGATCCTTGTTCAAGCTTAAGGGATATTCTATTTATTGACCTAAAATCCAGTCTTGGTGTGGGCCCGGAACATGTTTGGTTGCTTTCTCACCCAACCCACTAATGTCACCAAAGATACATTGGTCAGTGAAACAGACCAAGCCAAGGAAGGTCCTGCAGATCAACAACACTTGCGATTTGGTTGCTGGTGGGGACAAGATCTACATGTCCAGCAGGAATCGAAACCAGTTTTTTCCAATTGCGTGAGATGCGGCTTGGCTGCTGACAGCACTCAAACGCCAAGAGTTTATATAATAAATAGCTGATATGTAATGATTTGTTATCAACATACTATGCATATTGAATATAAACT